ATTTACTCGTTTATCTGTCTTGGAGATGAAAGGTATTCATAAACAAGATTATGTCAATATTGATGAATTGATTATTTGTCCTTGCTTTAATTACTTTGGCATCGTCCTCGTTGTCATATTGAAAAGTAGAAGTGTTTATTTCTTAAACATATCCATAATGTAATAAAAGGTGAAATGAGTGGTGAAGCTATTGCGCACAATTCCGAGACCATGAAATACTCTGTGTGTGAGTCTGCTATTTTAACACGTTTGCCATTTTTCAGCTAGAAAAAACAGTTTTCGGCGTTTTTTCAAAGTATCCTTCGTTTTGAACTGAGCAGCAACCAAAATTGCATTTGTATATTGATATTGGTATTTGCGAACTCCCAGTTTCGAAGTAATATTTAATGTTAAATGTTCCAGTGATTTTAATAGTTAAACAGTTGGACAAATTAAATATTTTATCAAATCGATACATTATGTATCATTCTTTAGAAATATAAAATACAATAATAGCACACTATTTTGATTTGTATTTCTAAAAAATGAAGCAATAAGTCATCGGAGAGTATTGAGTGTGTTGTACGTTTTTTACACACCCTGTTATCATACACTATAAGTATAAAAGCATGAAAACAGTAGTAAGCCAAGAACGCCAGATACTTAAAAAATGTAAACAGTTTTGAGTCTAGAAGCCATCTTAGAAATCCTCCATTCTTCAAGAGCGATGAAACAATTATCTTGAAAATGAACTCAACTTAAACTGACATCTATTCATTGGGGAACATTATATCTGGGTTTACTATATTACTTATCAAGTTCGAATTCAGTACCTGTTAAAGCATAATATACCTAAACTGACATCTTTACCTTATGTTAGAGTTAATTATTTTGCCAAAAAAGTATACATCCTACATACAGTAGCTCCCATCTATATATTGCATTTGGAACCCAATTAAACTATCTGTATATTTATAGGCAAAAAGCTTGGATCAAATCATCGAAATAAAACATACCATTCTACTAGATAATTGAATTCGAGTATTTGTATCATGGTTTTCGAATAAACGGAAGATTAAATCAGTCAGAAAAACAAGGAATATTTGTTTTAAATCTATTGAATATATAACGAATCTATATAACTTGAAAATTCTCTTCTTTTCAACTCACTTCGGCAATCTAGATGTCATTTTATATTTATGGTGAGCACAGTAGCCTAAATCTGATTTTTTAAGTAAATATCAATGAGACAAAAACGTGTAGCAAAACCAGCCCGTTTCTTTTTGTACTTTTCTCAGAAGCTTGACATACTATATCAAGACTTACTGTATATATCACCTATTGTATATGGGCAATAACCCCAGTATGACTGATATTGGGTGCGATGTATGCTGTTTTATTATTTAATACGCAACATGTACTGTTTACATTTTTGGGATGTTGTTGTCTAAATAAATTTCCTCGTGTTTACATGTTCATATTATATACTTTAGTAAATACTTTAATTCCTTTATTAAGAATGAAGATTGAAAGCATTTGATAAGAAGCATTCTGACCAGGCATTTTATTTAGGTAGATTTGATTATAATTGAAAATAAGAATGTTAACTCAATTATGCAATATAGAATATAAATAAATGCTCCGCCCATAATGTTATAACTGAGCATAGTTAATATTAAGAGAAATTGACACCTGTTACAGGTAATTTATGAAATTGTTTATTTCTTAATTAGGATGCACAGCAGGTTTTTACTATAACTCTGAGTTTGTCCCTTTCACAAATTATGTGTCAATCAGGTTCTGGAAGTTTTTCCTAAAATGAAAATAATACAGTAGTGGTACATGTAGCTTCAATCCCTTTCACCCAAGTATCATTGCACAATCATAGCTCATTGTCGTTTACAGTTAAAGGAATATAGTGTCAGTTCATACTCTTATATTCACGATGATACAACTACTTCCATATAACACCCATATTCAATCCCACCCATTAAATATATACCAAATATTCCATTCTATTGAGGTGAATACATCTTCATCTTTCCCTCAGTATATTTCCCGCAGCCCGAAGGGCAAGGGAAATATAACTGAGGGAAAGATGAACATGTATTCACCGAAAATAGAATGGAATATTTGATTTATTATATCATTTGAATTTTCTAAAAATTAAGTGTATTTCTTTTAACCATTTCATACATAGATACAATTCATGTGCTCATCAGAATAACCACCCTAACTACAGCCACTCTTAGATGCAAGATATTGCCATCTTTCATCCTCAAAAGTCACACGTGCAAGATGACTTGTCACATCACTGGTTTATAAACATCGGTTGAAGACCACAGTAGAGTTTCCCATAGGTGGCCATTATAACATTTTACCCTGTATCTTATTAACGATTAGTATCCAAGCCTAGTGCAACATACCACAGTGTTCGGGAGAGACTCGCCTAGACTGCTATAACAATCTTACCATGGGTTGTCCACCGAATTTTTGAGATAAATAAACTTGAAGACACTAACCCCCTCTATCGTCAGATTTCTCAGAGAATTCTGGTAAAATCACCAAGGTCAAAATCACTCCGCCGCCAGCTTAAAATGAGATTTCCCACTGAACTTTGGCATGTTTTCAGATAAATCAGGACCTACCTTATAAATATTTAGTCCCAATTCACTTCCCAAACGCCAAATGGCGCTCCAATGGGGTAGGAAAGGAGAAAAATGACTTTTTATACAGAAAACCAAATCACTAACGGTAACCGCTAGTGTCCTTACTCAGGACTATATCCATCAAGAACATGGCAACGGATGCACAATTGCTATGAGTACCCAAATATCCATGCTCATACTACAAATATGAGCTGTGACGTTATAACAATGAAGTTTTGTTGCCGTGCGTATCAAAGTATTTTCTACAACATTGTCGTGACGTCATAACAAAAACAAAACATCCGGGACTTTCTACCGTGGTATATACTTAGAGGTTATGTCACTATGACGTGAAATATGCCTGAGTTCTCCCAATATAGGCCGACCTTGGGAGGCTCTATATTTGGGCAAGAACGAAGGCATATTTCACGTCATAGTGACATAACTGATGTATTACATGCCTTTGTTCCCATGGTTACTTTGTATCGATGACGTGACGTCATGATATTATCGTGGTTATTAAAGAAATCTAATATCAAAACGAGGTAAGCGGGCTATATCGGGGTAATCGGGCAATATCGGTGGATATAGCTCGCTAACTTTCCCATTGACTTCCATACAAATGCTTCGCTAGGTATGTAATACTCCGTGGTATATACATCGTGGTGTATACAGTTGAAAACGAGGCTGCGACTGGAGACTGCAGGAAACGATGAAATACACCCTAATATTTTTAATCATGTAATCGGTTCTTATCCAATGAGAAAGCGAGAAACATTTCAATGATATAATAAATCTATATCCTTTACTTATATGAAGGTAAACACTATAATGTATATCTTCATAACAAAATAAGATCATACAATACTCTAGCAGTTTTTAATTAATTCATTTATTTTTTAAAAGCTATATAAATACGCCAGCATTGAATATGGTGTATTTCGAATGTACATAAGTCTTGTAAATTCACATTTATATTTGAGTGTAAGCAATTTGGTCAAAATTCTTAATTTACATACTTTATTAATGGTTTATACATTTATATACATTTTCATTAAACCCTGTTTTATATGAGTAATTGGTCCTTGAATTTAAATAAACTACTAACAGTTTCAAATTAGAAAATATTTTAATTTGTAGCTTTTTGCTACGTTATATACATACGAGGATTGATCATAAAGTTCTCATAATATCTTTCTAATTTCTTTAGTTTTCAATCTTTTCTTATGAAATTTTCACGGAATGTGCATCATGAAATGTTCTATTAATCCCGCAAAAATATTTAGAGTAACAGAAACATTAAATAATAAATTGGAAATTGTTGGCATAGTAACTTGAAATTAAGGCATCCGGGGCAAATAAAAAAATTAGCTAAAATAGCCCCCATTAACCATGCTTAAATATATAATAAGTTGTTAAATAAGCTAACAAATATTTTAAATTGTCAAATACTATAGTGCTCGTGACTATTTTGAACTATTAAAATGGTTATGTGAATTGTGTGATCTCATAATGGAGAGGAGGATTTTGAGGATTTTGCCCCTTTAGTTCATTTTTAATATGTTTAGACCACATACAGGGTGTAATTTTGTTGATATCTTGGCAATATATTTGTTTTAGATCGTGTTTAGTCTGACCAAAGGATCTTACAAACGTAACATAACTTTTTATCAGTATGAATTATATGGTATCACATCTAATGAAGCATGAAAGCATCCCCCGAGATCACACAATCCAAAATCTTTAACAGTAAACGTAAATATTCAAGTTAACATTTAATGTGTTTGGTAATCTATGAGAGTATATTATGTATGTTAACATGGTTAATTGGAGCCATTCTCTCAATTTATCTTATTTGCCCCGGGTGCCTTGATTTCCCGTTACTATGGCAACCATTTCTTATTTAATATTTCTGTTACACTAAATATTTTACTGCATATTCTGTAAAAATTCATTAGAATATATTGTAAAATAAAGAAGTTGGAGAAATATTATGAGAACTTTATGATCAACCCTCCTATATTATGTACTATTGAAGTGTTTTAAAAAACGTGTAAAGATAATTGTGAATCTGTATATTTTTCATACACTTTGACACGTTGGCACTATCAATTTCTTGGATAATGTCTATTATTATACGACGTACATGGATGATTGGATGTGTACATATACAGTAATAAGTATACAACTATAGAAATCATCCCTAGTTTGTATAGTTCTTAAATGTACATGCTAGTAATAACATCTCTTTAATGTTGCCCATCTGTCATTTTGGCACTAAGATCAATTTCTAAGTGTGTATTGGAATATTTGTGTCATTTTCAAATTACATAGACACTATTTCTACAATCTCTGAACGTTATAAGATTATTGTAGATTATAATATATTATCATCTTCTAAAAACTAGGACTATTATAATGATAACTGCAATAAGTATGAGGCCTCCAACAACACATCCAGTGATGATCTGAACTGAAAAAGACATATATATATATATATAATTAGTATTATTGACATTTCAAATGCACTGCTCGTTAATGCATTTTTTCATATGTTCAATTATAGTCTATTTTGGTACCACACTTACATTGTCAAAAAGGTAGTGCATTAAAATACATTGAAGTGTTATGAGGTTATTTTGGTGTACATGTATGCATAATTGCAATTTTTCTTATGCGGATAAATCAAATGTTTCATTTACAATTTTGAGGTACTTTAATTTCTGTTATATTTGGTAAAACCTCGATTATATTTTGATTGTGTTATGGACCACAAGTACGTTAATCATTAAGAACTTACCTTGGTCTACGTTTGCTAATAGTCTTGGTGGGCCGTCTTCATTTGATCCTTGAGCATAATAATCATCATTGTCATCATCATCACTAGGATATTCATCTTCATCCATTATAACATATTCTTCTTCACCTTCCTCATCATCGTAGTCTCTCACCTCCTCTTCATTTTCACTCTGATCATTATCAACATCATTACCATCCACTATTACATTGATTTTAGGCAGCACTTCTTTCACTTTAAATGTTGGTCTAATGCTAAGTGTAGGAGGTGCTGTGGTCAATTGTGATATTTCTTTGCTAGTCTTTCTTCGTCTAAACGGTCCACATTTAATGTTTATTTCTTTCCCAAATGCTGGAATAGATGAGATTAATCCAAATAATACGCTAAAAGATGAAAAAATGTATCGATGGATATCAGTTTTTATTAAACTATTCGCAACATCGAAATATTGACCGAGACATTTTTCGTGCATTGACAAAATTAAATAAAATATTTCAACAACCTTATAATTTCAACATTTGATTTTGAACAATAAATTTTATCATATCCTGTATATATCCATATCAAATTTGACAAGACATAGGGTGAACAGAATCACACCCTAGAATAGAATAGACAGTTTTTGGGACTTTAAGTCTAAAATGGTCGCTTTAACATTTACCCAGACTGCCTAATCAGTTCTAAACTTCCATAGGGAGACACATCCCTGAAAATTTCAGATCAATCACTTAAACGATTTGGTGGAAATTTGTAGACAAGCCTCAACAGACAATATTTTTGGCCGGAAAATCCAAAAGGATTTTACCCAGAATTCCGAAAATCTAATCAGTTCTAAACTTTAATAGGTAAAACATCCCTGAAATTTTCAGATGAATCTCCGAAACAGCTTGGCTGGAAACCTGTAGACAAGATTAATCGGGACGCACGCCTATTCGCCAACTGACCTGACCGACCAGCCGCCGCTCGGCGAACTGATTACAATATAGCACCCAAGGGTGCGATAAAAATTGAACTTCATCAGAAATTGGAATTCCAACCATGACAATTACATTAAATTCTTATCATGTGGAATCGCCTTAAACACAGAACAGGCAATTTGGGCTCACCTGAAAATTCTACCCAGAATCCTTTAGCATTATACCAGCCATCTGAGTGGAAGTGAAGTAACGTATTACCACTCTGAATTTCTATATTCTCAGGGAGATCCTCTGGTGGTATATGACCACATCTTTTACTATATTCTCCTATTTTCAGCCAATCATTGTTACATTTAGTCAAACTTGTTGTATTTATTCCTAAATCTAATAATTTCAGAGCAATGCTCTCCTCGTGCTCTTTCACTGTCAGTTTACACGCACAGTCAAGATTGCCTGAATAGTTTCTATGGGGAAAGTTAGGAGTTCTGAGAAATCCATGTTTTAATGTCTGATCACTACTCCTGCAAATGTCTATTAGTTCTTCTCCTGAAATGGAAAATATGAAATGAATTAAGCACTCCTCCGAACACAGGCCTCCACCTCGTTCTTCTTGGAAGAAGCAATGGATGTAGTGGATGATGCCTCGAGCCCGTCATTCGGAGGATGAAATGAATTTTAAATTAACTGTCATTTGCAAATACTACTGTTGACTAGACACAGTGTGTCTAGGGATACACGTTAATTGACTTGCGTATTCTGATCACAAAGGGTTTTGCATACCCTCGCGATCGTGTTTGGAGTAAGTTCTTCAGTTGACTAAATTCAGTTTACATGTATGTACTTAATAGGGACACAAGTAAAATTTGCTTGCATATTTTGCTCACAGAGGGTCCTTGCATACATGTCACTTGTGTTTGGCATTAGTTCTACAATATTTGTCTAAATAGAGTGTATACTTATAGTGTATACTTACTAGGAACACAAGTATAATTTACTTGCATATATTGTGCATAAGTTCTACAGTTGACTAAGAAGGGATTGCTCACGGGTACGGAGCACGTATATCGTCCATTACAGTTATAATCCATAACTGCAGGCTGGGTGCACTGACTAGGTAGACCATCGTACCAACATGTAGAGTTGGATCTTGGCACGCCATGGAATGCCTCGTGTACCTTGATGATACTATTCGGGGCACATTTGAGATGCAATATTGGGACACCCTTCACGTTAAAACAACTGCTTGCATTTTGCATTGGATATTCAGTCTCATCTGGAAGATATAAAACACATAAATATAGCGTCTTGATTTCATTGAACTTCGACTATGTATTGTTAAAAGATTGTCGCTTCTGATCAACCCACAGGGTAGGACAAAATAAACGAACATATTTTTTTAATTTGCTGTATCAAACAGCATATTGACCGAGGAATATAAAACTCATCTTTGATTCACGACAAATGAGTTTGTCTTACAGTATTATCTACACTAAAAATAAGTAAACGGTACTATGTATAATTTTGGGAACGGTGAAAAAATACGATTCTTTGAGGAGGAATTCTTGAATATCAATTGTATTCACTGGTGTTATTCATCGGAAGGTAATAATATCGAGGTACAAAATTGTTTGTGCTATTTTTGTACTTACTTTTTGCAGCCACTGTAGTGAACCAATGCAGCAAAAATAATATTAATGATATTTCTTCGAGTGTTGACCTCCCTCTCCATGGCGAGATATAGTCCTCCATTTTGTTTTTAACTTTTGATATCCCTATCAAAATGTCATAATGATTTAACTAATCCATGATTATATTTTGATGTAAGAAGATAGCCTCATTTCATACTTCTTGTTTAATCCGGGTTTTATTAAATTTGATGAGATATTATTTCTGTTTTCCAATATAGAATCGGCATTTTTAGTCAGGCAAAAATAAATGTTCATTAATTAAAGACGAATGTGTTACATATGTTCCCTGATATCAATGTTCATCTCACATGGCATAATTGTTCGACCTCTCTAATTACCAAGTAAAATAGTGCAAATAATTGCAATTAATTCTATTGAAAATACTCAAGTTGTTTAACGTACTTAACAAGCTGGCCCTGAACGAGTATAAACTACATCTGTTTGATTGTTGTGAATGCAAGCTGTCGCTATATGTATTTAGGGACACGAAGAGGGCACACCTATATTAAAACTCTTTGAGGCTACAGTTCTTGGAAAATACCGTCTGGCTTAGGAATCGTCATAATGGCGGAGGCCTGTATAATCGTTTTCTTAATTTGTTCTTGAGATTTGATTCCTTATATTTTGCTAAATTCATGACAAGGTTTTTATTAACTAATTTGCACGTCATATACGATTGGTATTTTATGATGGGTAAGTTCAACAGGTTTTCCCGACAGATGTCATTTCTTAATGGATTGATATTCTCAGAGACAGTTGCGTAACATATCCTGTTAAGTAGCATAGTTTTAGTTCAATCCATTATTTTACACATGGCCCGGACCAACGGACGGACGCCTCGTCGATCCTCAAATAAAATAATCATTCAAAAGGCCAGCAACAAGGAAACTTATCACAGCCACGAGCGTACCCAGGCATGAGTAAACGTTTACAGATTGAAGAATATTAAAATATAGAACGTTTTTCAACTAAAACTATAGAAATTAAGACCAAAGTGATTGTTTTTATTCATTTCACAAAATCATCAATGCTCTTACAATGGTACATTATTCTAGCTAGGCTCAAAGAGCAGTATTAGCATAATACACATATTAAACGATTCAATAAACTGGGGCCTGGGTGACTGATAGCTGCACATTTTTCAAGAAATCCGAGAGAGCAACCTTAATACGGTGTTTCATTCAGTGCCATTTGTCTAATTTTGCGAACCACATTTCCAAAATGTCAACCATAATTTCCAAATTTCAAATTCATAATATTGCTTCGTACTTAAAAGTAATTATACAATACAATACTACGTATGTATTCTCGAAATGTGATTTAACAATGACAGTAAACGCTTGACAGTAAACGCTTTACGTTTGTATCAGCAGCTTGTCCTAATTGATCTATTATCTTAATGGCTGGTCAACTACGTGACCCTGACGGGTTCATGCAAAGTGAAAAAATTGTGATAAGTGTGGGCTGTAGGGTCTTTGAATAGTTCCTATAATCGTCGTCACATGCATGTGTTTAAGATATGTTCAGTTAACTTTTTGGAGCATGTTTTTTCCTGTGAATCATGGATACACTCTGAAATTGGTCAGAATGCACCAAATGATATTCAATTTTCGAAATTTTCCCAGACCTCTTATTCGCGCGGTCGTTCGCTGCGCTCACTCACGCAGATATATTACAAAGTTTCATTTAACTTGAAAATTGAGTGGATCAGTTTTCAAATAACGCGCGTCTCTGATAATTATACAAATGAAAATATGTTCAGTAAAATAAAATAAAAGAGAAGAAAATATGTTTTACGATTTGTAATTTTATTACATGGGGTCTATGAGAAATCTTCCCGGTCTAGAAGTCACATTTTCAAAGAAAATTTAATTTTCAAAGTTGATAATAAAAATAGTTGTGTAAACAACATATTTAGATGTTTTTCTACATGTAGATTTCAAATATGATATCACCTTGACCAAATTTTGAATATTTAATGACGTAAATCAAGGTTATTTCTACTTGCATCTAATCTATTAAAATGTATTGGATTTAATTTAAGTTATATGTTTGGTAAGAGTCATTACCCCGCTCATTATATTAATATACCAGGTCGTTCAATAGGTTCACGGAAAATCTTTGAAATGATAGCATTTCTCCGTGAACTTATTGAACGACCTTGTATCTTTAAAGGTACCTTTCAACACTTCAAAATGAAAGAAAGACCCAAGAGGAAGTTCAACATGTTTTCACAACACGAAGAATGATATTGTGTACACAGATCAATGAGGCATTCGACTGAAGCACTCACTGTATTTCCTGCAAGGTTGTATAAACCGATCTTGGGGTGAAACAAGTTATTAATACTCATGGCAGTAGGGAGAGGAGGTTCGGGGGGTTGGAAGAATTTCTTTTTTCTAAAAATTATAATGGTCACTTATGGGAATCTATTCGCTCCAACCTATTAAGACAAGTTGTCAATTATGAAGTATATTAAAGACGAAACAAAAAGGAATAATTGAGTAAATCGAATCGAATCGAAGCCACACTACAAATGTAAATGACTGTATTCTAGACTGTATTCTAAATTTTATGTTCTAAAAGCATTTGTCTGTTAAATTTTGTCTACGTATTGTATAGCAAAACAGTTTCATTGATTGAATTGAGTTGTTGCGGATGTTTTTTAATTTGAATATCTAGAACAGATCACACATTTAGCGTGCTGAGTAAATTTTAAGGCAGACATTTTAGACCTATTATTTCAAAACCCTTTCCTTGTATTGTAAATGTTGTATTGTAATGTTTTGTATTGTGTTTTTTATATTTACTTATCTAAAATGATACTTTCTGTATAATCGATTCAATATTTTAGGAATCTATTTTAGAATCGTGACATGCCAAATCACATTAAGTGTGATAATTGGTATTTTTCCGATACCTGTTATGCGAAAGTAAGCTAGTCTATGCATAAAATAAGCTGTTTGAACGACCATTTTCAATTAAAAGTATTTATAGGTTGATATGAAAATAATTCTCAAACCATAAGTCAAACAGACCGTAATCACTTGCGGATCCAGGATTTTTTGTTAGGGGGGGGGGGGCGTGTGATAATAACTGTGAGCGAAGAGTCAAATTTTGTAAAAAACGATGAGGCAAAACATGAATTTTCCGACTTTTTAGGGGGGCGTGGTAATGTCACATATTTCCTTAAAATATAGGTAACAGATTTAGATAAAAATAATATTTTATTTATAGTCAGTTCAATATACAGACAATATATATATAGTACTATACAATGTCAGCATCCTAGCTACATGCGCACGCACTACACGATATGGTGTAAATTTTGTGTCAAAAGTTTACAGACATAATTTCGCTATTTAGGTGCACGAAAATGTACGATTTCGTGTGCTCTTTATTCCAGACGCTCTAAAAGCGAACGCTCTCCATTCCTGACGCTAATGTTCTATTCCAGACGCTATTTACCTATTCCCGACGCTATCTATTCTGGACGCTCTGAAACCGAACGCTATCTATTCAGGACGCTCCATTCTAGACGCCCACTATTAAACCAGACGCTATCGATTCCAGACGCTCTATTCCGGACGCTCCATTCTGGACGCTCACTATTAAACCGGACGCTATCGATTCCAGACGCTCTATTCCAGACGCTCCATTCTGGACGCTCTATTCTGGACGCTATTTAACCGGTCGCTTTCTGCAATCAGGACGCTCTATTCTGGACGCTATTTAACCCGACGCTTGTATTCAGGAAGCTCCATTCCGGACGCTCGATGACATTAACCTTTAAAGCTCTCCATTCTTATTCTGATTGATATACCATGAACGAATTGCATTAACACCGACCTCAACATATCACAAGGGCAATACAATATTAATCACGCGCTTCTATCATATCGTAGTAAAGTTTCGAACATTTTCAAAACATGGCGTATATAAGCAGTTTTGATAATAAGTTTACGAATTTAATTTATAGATCATGACGTACAGGTATTGCATTAACACCGTCCTCAACATCTCACATCAAGAGCAATAACGTATTTAACAAGCTCATCTAACATATCATATCGTTTGCTGCGGTAGACCTTCTGATTTGTTCTGTTTAGTAACATCACATAATTGGATTAGCTCAATATATGTAAACTAGGGGTGCTAGCATATATTTGAAAATGGCTATGGTAATCATCTCAGGAAATATATGCCATTTTCCTGGGGCTAGTTTACCCACAAACGATTTATTTTGAGCAATTTAGATGCATACTCAACTATTCGACAGATATGCTACTTTCAAATTAAGAACATATATAAACATACTTTTGCTAGCTAGAGTTTCGCATCTCAATGGCCGTATAAAATGATTGAGACCGTGAAATAAGTACTAGAAAGTTATATGTTATCTCAACCTTACTCACAATCCCTCGTGTTACAGGTTTATCGCAAGACTAAAACCCAACTAACCCAATTGAAATTACATTGAATCTACACGTCGATGGGATTATAAAACAAGTCGAACTCAGGAGGAGTGAGTAGCCCGCATAATTCTTTCATATTCTATCGTATTCAGGGATTCCCCATTACATCATCTCTTGCATCATCTCCAATCAAATTGCAGGATTCGATCACGTGAACAATCATGAGCACGTGCTCTCTCAGTGCTGCGCATGCGCAAATTTAAATTTGAAATCGTGGGAATGGCGTTTACATCAGTTCAACATCATCATTTCAAACCTTCGGTAATACTATTGAAGTTACTCGATCCATACTTGTAGAGAATAGTCATAAAACTACATTAAACATTTAGAGATCCATTTCAATGTCAAATTGAGGCCTGTTTATAAAATTTGTTTTCGAACGTGCTAATATGATAGGTCATCTTTGGGAAATCTCCCCCCCCCCTGAGTCGAACTTAAAGAGTTTACATAATTTGTTGCGCGCGCATCGCACTTTACGTTCAGGTCAGGGGGGAGATCTCCCGAAGTTCAGCCTTCGTATTCGATTCGGCTTACATGACCATATACTAGGAATCAAACTGACCGTTGTCCGCTATTTTGAATATCAAGTGATAGATCCATATAAGGCTTGTACCCAGCTAACAATTTTACGTTGTGATAACGTCGTCAGAATATATGTCTCAAGTTGTAGCAACGTTAAATATGGAACGTTGTAGGTACAGGA